TGCTGGCTGTTATCCCCTTGACTGGGGGTGTGGTTGGCGCTGTGGTGACCAGAGCCTGCCCTGGTTGTTGAGCGGGGCCTCCTCTTTGCTGTGTGGTTGTCACAGTCCTGACAGGGGCTGGATCTGCTCCCCTCTTGTTGGAATAGAAGCTTCCAGACTCATTTCTGAGCTGCTGTGTGTGGTGGGCAGGACTGGCGTGCCTTTGCTGGAAGGGGAGCTGTGAGTACTTCTCTGCAGATGTCCAGTGGAAAGCACCCTCTGCGGTGTTGTCTGTCACTATTATGCGGCTCACAAAGTACACTTTGTTGTCACTCCCCTCGTCCCTGCCTCAGCTGCAGAAATATTGGCAGTCCACCATGGTGTCCCCCAGGTTCTACACCCACAGGTCCATCAGCACGTTTCTGCTGACTTCAGGCTTCAGGCCCAGCCGTGGTGTGTGTGCAGCCATGCACCTGGCATACCATGAGCCACGAGCCAGCCGAGACCTCAGCCCTGTGTCTGCCTGTGGTATGCAGGCTTGCAGTTAACACCAGACCTGCCCCACTGTGTACCAAGACTGCGTTCAGTTGTCTCAGAAGCACGGGTCCACACAAGCACATGGGGACCAAACGCGTCGCTGCCACGTGGGGCTTGACACAAACCTCAGCCCCACCTGCGAAGTCTCGGGGACACCGAGAACGGATTCAGGTTGCAGCCCTACCTCTGCCCGGGAGCCCTGACCAGCGATTGCGCCCCCCCAGAGGAAGCTTCAGGGACTGCTGGGTCTGACCCACGCCCATCTGCTCGCAAGAACCTGTGCCAGCAATGGTGCCAAGCAGTGCTTCCCGGGCTAGTGGAGACCAAGCTGCCAAGTTGCATTGTGCCACTCCCCCCACGCACACCAGCAGTGGTGCTCACTGTGGGGGCCCAGGCCGTTCTGCACACCCTCTCAGCTTCAGCCCACATCACACTCCACCCCACTAAGGCTGCCTCTGCACAGTCAGCCCCAGTCCTCCCCCAGGTCATCCGCAGAAGCCTGAGCTCCAGCACCCAGCACCTACCCAGCCCCACTGGCTGGCATCCCTGGGATCACAGGAGATCTTCGCGCTGGTTTCCCTCAGTCCTGCTGCCAAGAAGCGGCTGCTTTCTCCTCTGAGCCTCTGAACCTCCCTTTCTGTCCCCACTGACCTCCCGCGCCAGAGAAGGGGCTGCCCAGCGGGAGGGCGCTTTCCTCCTGTGCTGTGCCTTCCCCAGAGGACAGGTCCCTCAGCGATGTCCCTTTTCTTTCTTTCTTTTTTTTCCCTCCCAGATTTTGTGAGGATTATCATTGTATTTCCAGTGTAAGTGATGTTCTGCCAAATTTCAGTAGCTATTCTGTGCAAATTGCTCTCTGTGTAGACATAGTATTCATGGGAGAGGGTGAGCTACGCGTGCTTCTAATAGGCCACCTCGGCCAGCCCGCCCGGTGCAAGTTGTGTAATAACCTACTTATTTTAAAAAATGAAAGGGGATAATGCAATTATTTAAATTTTGACCAAACTGAAATTCCTGCTGTGCTTCAAACAACTGCACAAATCTTATCCCAGTCTTCTCTCCTGCATTGCCCTCTTATAAAATGCTCTTCATTAAACCCATTACTAACAAAATTACACTTTTCACTTACATGTTTACGTGCTTATTACCCATCTAGTCCTCACTAGAACTTAAATTCCACACAAAATGCCAACCTGTTTGTATAACTCAGTGTTGCAAACCCAGCTCCCATGGCTCTCTTTCCCACTGTAGGCACTGGACAGTAATTTTTGAATGCATTTTCAAGTCAAAATTTCCTACACTGAATTAACCATGGAGGCATTTTTCCCCCATAATAAATGTTTCTAATACAGATAACAATGGGAAAAGCCATATGGAAATGATATCTATTTACCTCTTAATGGCGCTACCCTCAGGCCCAAGGATGGTATGAAACCTCTCAATGACCGAGTTGCTAATTTTTTCTCCCAATATCTCTTTCACTCAAATGTCACTTTCTTTGAAATTCAACAATTTGAATTTAATTGCTTGAGCCTATCACCTCCCACTTTTCATGGCATTCATGAAGGGTAATGTATCTGTGCAAATTTGTGCCATCATAGACGGCTTTTCCCTGGCACAAGAGGAATGAAGAAATTACAAGTACGTGGAAAATGGACGTCAACACAGAGCTAAAGAAAAGAAAGCCCTTCCTACCAAGAAAAAAAAAAATAAGGAAGGAACACCCCCATGGTAATATTCACAATGTGGCCAGTCATAAGAGCTATGTTTTGGTACTTTCACACCATGATATTAAGGAGTATGGTGAAGTGGGAAGAGTAGAAAGAGGAAAGTCTAAAAGCAGTGATATTGTTGCTTAACTCCACTAAGTTTTTATTTTCCTTCTCATATAAAATGCAGCAAAAACTTCCCTAATAATAGTTGTTGCTACATAAAAAAAATTAAAGTATGTAAATAACCTATCAAAATAGATGCCTCGTAGCTGGCCTTCAGCAATAGCTCATTTGCCTCACATAATGCCTAATATTTTCACTAAATTAAAAGTCCAAGTTAAACTAAAGCATTCTTATACAACAGATCCAAACATTATTTATACCATTAATTTTCAGGAGAAACACTCATATCCCCAATATCTTTTTTAAAGAATCAGAAATAATTAGGTGGCAGTCTGTCCTCAGGAGAGATTCTTGATGATGAGTGTAAAGGGACATCTCAAAAGGACTTCAGCTTACTCACAAATCAGCAGAATTCTATCTACTGAGAATGTCAAACCGCCTTACATTTCCTCCTTCAGTTCTGCAGCTCCCAGGTTGGCTGCTGGCAATTTGTAATTTTGCACCTCACTAATCTTCTCACCCCTCCTCTGAACCTTTGGTATGGCCGCTAAGACACTATCATTAGTTTAGTTTCCCTCTTCAAATCCTCCATTTGGTCTTAGAATAAAAACCACAGTTAATCAATACTTTTACCTATTCTTGACCTTGGATTATTTTCATCTCCTATCTAACATTCATAAGACAAAATGAGCCACATTTCACTTAGTCTAGATTCTGTTGAAATGTTTAGCTATTGCAAACATGACCATTTTAGTTAATGAGGTGCTTATCTATCATATTCCAGGCCTATACTTTGTAGGAAAACATTCTGTTTCTTATGAACTGGAGACAGCCATGTACACCTTAGTAAACACAGCCACCCTTTACCATGCTGTGGCATTACTATATGTCAAATTATGAAAAAAGAATCAGAGAAGCTTTGATTTCTAAAAAGTTATTTAATAATGTAGAATGACCTGGGGTTCTCCACAGCATTGCAGAGATCTCCTAATTTCCAAAAATTCATCTTAGCTATTTCACTTTTATGAAGACTAACATTAGTACTTGCTTTCACTAACTGAAAGAAACCTGAAGGGGATTTTTTTATTTAAAAGAAAAATCTGTTACCAAACTACTGTTGGTCTTCGGTAAAAGTGAAGTGGCATAAAACAAGCATTCAAAAAGAGGAAAAACTTGTAGTGCTGAAATGGGTTGTTATATGTGAAACAAGGCTACAAAAAATTGACACCAACTTCTTGAAAGACAAAGTTTGCGTAAATTTCCATATAATTTTCGTATCTATGGACCTAAATATACCACAGACAACTGAGTTTCATTTGAAAGAAAGTAAGATTGAATTTTTTAAGACCTGGATTGGAATGTTTGTAGCTGAAACTTTTGAAAGGAAGGTGCACTCAGTGCAATAGCTCCTGATACACTATATGGGGTAAGCAAGTGTGATGTAAGACAAGTAAATTAGTAAACCTCTCTTGCCTTCAATTTGCTTCTATGTAAAATGTTCATATTAATAATGGAATGACAGGCTTAGTATGTGGATGAATCAACTGAGGGGAATACACCTGATATATTATAAGATGTTCACTTAGTGTGAAAATATGTATCAGACCTACAGAGCAACAGCTTTGGTACCTAACTATATGCCTTTTAGTTGAAACTGGACAAAAAAAGAGTTTACCCTTCTTGTTTTGAATGGTTCCACAAGTCTTTATATGGAAAAAAATTTTATATTCATGAAAAACTGAGTAATAAGGATATTTAAGAAAGAATAAGGAAACAAATATATTTATGTATATGTATGACTGAAACATTATGACCATTACACCAGAAATTGACACAACATTGTAAACTAACTACTTCAATAATAAAAAGAGTAACTTCAAAATTTCTGGGTTATTTTGTGCCAAGAAAAGAATTAGACACAGATTTTGAATTATTCTTTCCTCCTTTGGTGCGTGTATCTCCTTTTGCTTTTGGTAAATTCGTAGCGAAGGGGAAAAAGTCAGCTGAGATTCCTTCAAGCAACTGTCCCTTCCCTGTGTATCTGTATACGAATTCCTGTCACTTACCGGCTTTGCCAAAGGTTAGAGAAAACAAGAGTTCTGAGATGAAGGGCCTATGGAAAAGCCAATTTCATACAAGTAAAATATATGAAAGACTTGGTAATGTAACAGGGAGATTCTGGAGAAAAACATACTTTACAATCATCGAACTAGGAGTTTAGAGTTGTTCTCTCCATTAGCTATTCTGAAGCTATGACCGTGAAGATTGAAGACTTGGTAAAGTATATCACAAATTATCAGGGTGCCTAAAAAATGCGTAGCCATTATTAAATACTCAACAAATGTTAGTTTCTAGGCCTTGTTTTCCTGTCAGTGATCTGCAAAATTTCTTAATTTTTTTCACAATTTACAACATGTGTAATCCTCCCTTTGTATATAAATCACCAGTTTCTTGACATCATGAACAGCCTAAGTTACTCTCCTCCTCAACAAACTCCTCATGGCGTTTTTCACCTCTGTGTTTCTCACTGTGTAAATGATAGGATTTAACATGGGAGTGAGGACTGAGTAGAACACACTCACCAACTTGTCTACAGGGTAGGTATCCACAGGACTCACATAGGTGAGTAAACAAGGGATGAAAAAGAGCACCACTGCTGTAAAGTGGGAGCCACATGTAGAGAGGGCTTTGCATCATCCTTCAGCGCCATGGGATCTCAGGGAGCTCAGGATGACTATGTAGGAGATGAGCAGCATGAAAAAAATGAGTAAGCACATGCCCCCGCTGTTCACTGCCACCACCACTCCAAGTCTGTAGGTGTCGCTGCGGGAAAGTTTCAATAGTGAGAAGAAATCACACATGAAGTGGTCAATGACATTGGGACCACAGAAGGTCAAGTCATCTGCAAGAAGAATCTGCAGAGTGGCATGCACAATCCCCCCAATCCAGGCCACCACCATCAGCAACTGGCAGAGCCCCTGTTGCATGATGGTCGTGTAGTGCAGAGGCTTGCAGATGGCCACATAGCGGTCATAGGCCATTGCAACAAGGACTATGACCTCTGATGCAGCCAGGAAGTGTTCCACAAAGAGCTGAGCCAGGCAGCCACCCCAGGAGATGGTTTTCCTCTGACACAGCAGGTCAATGAGCATTTTAGGAGTTGTGACAGAGGTGAAGGAGGTATCTATGAAGGACAAGTAAGTGAGAAAGAAGTACATGGGAGCTGAAAGTGAAGGGCTGAGGGAGATGCTAATGACCATGAGCAGATTGGCCAGCATGGTAAATACAAAACTGAACAAAAAGACAATGAAGAGTATCTTCTGTAAGTA